TCCTTGGATCCCACACTGGGATTGAAGGGGGGAAAACCCTCCAGGATCTTTTCCAGGTGGGAATGGGACATTCCCACCCTGGCACAGTGGGATTTTCCAGGATTTTCTCTCTCTGCCCTGCTGGAGCTCCTTGGGAACACTGGCATTTTCCAGGATCTTCCCTCCCTCCCAGAAATTCCCTTCTCAGGAGAGAATTCCTTGGATCCCACACTGGGATTGAAGGGGGGAAAACCCTCCAGGATCTTTTCCAGGTGGGAATGGGATATTCCCACCCTGGCACAGTGGGATTTTCCAGGATTTTCTCTCTCTGCCCTGCTGGAGCTCCTTGGGAGCACTGGGATTTTCCTTGGGAACACTGAGATTTTTCCCATCCAGGATTTTCTCTCCCTGCCCTGCTGGAGTTCTTTGGGAACACTGGCATTTTCCAGGATCTTCTCTCCCTCCCCGCCGAGGATGGGAAATCCTTGGGAACACTGGGATTTTCCTTGGGAACACCAGCATTTTCCAGGATTTTCTCTCCCTGGGATGGGAAATCCTTGGGAACACTGACATTTTCCAGGATTTTCTCTCCCTGGGATGGGAAATCCTTGGGAACACTGGTGCTTTCCCATCCAGGATTTTCTCTCCCCGCCCTGCTGGAGTTCTTTAGGAACACTGGCATTTTCCAGGATCTTCTCTCCCTCCCCGCCGAGGATGGGAAATCCTTGGGAACACTGGGATTTTCCTTGGGAACACTGGCATTTTCCCTGGGAACACTGGCACTTTCCCATCCAGGATTTTCTCTCCCCGCCCTGCTGGAGTTCTTCAGGAACACTGGGATTTCCCGCAGTTTTTCTCCCTGCCCTCCCTGGGGTGGGAAACCCTTGGGAACAGCAGGATTTCTGTGGGAACCCCGGGATTTCCCCTTCTCCCTCCCCGGCAGGAGCAAGCCCCGGGAGCTCCCCCTGCTCCCGCTGCAGCGGCGGATCCGGCGGGAACGACTCACTCGGAGAAGCCCTTCCACTTGAGCAGATATTCCACCTTCCCCTTGACCACGCGCCGGTCCAGGACCTTTTCCACCACGTACTCCTCCTCCTCCTCCTCCAGCACCTCTTCCACCTTTTTCTTGTTCTGCTTTTTTCCCATTGTGCTGGCCAGCTTCTCCGCTTTCCCGGGCTGCTGCAGGGGGAGACAACGGGGGGGAAATCGCGGATGCGGCGCCACGGGGACGGCGGGAATGGCGGGAGGCACAGCTCGGGATGCTCGGCCTGGTCCAGGTGGGACTGTGCTCCCTTCGAGGGGGGAATCCCTCCAGGATGTGTTTCCAGGTGGGAATGGGACATTCCCACCCTGGCACACTGGGAATTGCCAGGAGTTGCTCTCCCTGCCCTGCTGGAGCTCCTTGAGAGCACTGGGATTTTCCCTGGGATGGGAAATCCTTGGGAAAACTGGGATTTCTGTGAACTCCAGGCGTTTACAAGAACTCAAATTCCACCAGTTCATAATCCCAATTAATCCCAGGTCACATTCCCAGATCCCAGCCTCTCCGTGGTCATTCCCTTGCTGGATCCTGGGATATTTATCCAGCTCTTCCTCCCACAGCTGTTTAGGGAATCAAAAATTCCTGAAAATCCATCCAGCGCTGGCTGGGAAAACTCTGGATTCAGAGCCAGGAAATCCCTGGATTCCAGGTTGGAAAAACTCCGGATCCAGAGACGGGGAAAGCCTGGCTTCTGAACATTTTTGGGATCTATTTTTCCCAGATTCCCACAAGGAATTCCCAAGGCCTGCATTCCAAGCCCATTCCCAGGTGGTTTTTTGGCATTTTTTCTGGTGCAGCCCCAGCTGAATTCCGTGGATTCCAGGAGCCCGACCTTCCCCTCTCAATTTCTGGAGGAATTTTGGGATTTCTCCCTATTCTTTTCCCACATTTCCAGCCTCTTTCACAGCAAACCCCAGAGTTACCCCACCAGAATCCCAATTTTTATCCAGGGACCCCTCTGTTTTATAGGAACACACAGAGCTGCTTCCATACCCATCCCTGGCATCCCCCCCATCCACATTCCAGGGAGAATTCCCCTTTTCTCCCACCCAAAACTCCCCCACGGAAGATCCCCGGCTCCACACCCACTTTTTCCTGGGAAAAGCTTTCCCAGCTCCTCCTCCAGGCACACAAATCCCGCTGGGATCCCGAAATCGTTCCCCAGCTCCCAAAACTCCCAGAGCTCTGGCTCCCCCAGCTCCCAAAATTCCATCACAACTCCCCCAAAGCATCTCCTCCTCCCTTCCCAGCTCCTCCCGAGCCCAGCTCCGCCCCAAATTCCCGGATTCCCGCTCCAAGCCCGGATTCCCGGGATTTTTCCAGCTTCCCGCCAAAAGCTGTCGCTTGTCCCTCCCCGCTCCCGCTCCGCGCCCGATTCCCGCTCCTCCACCGAGACCCTTCCCCTCACGCCAGGGGCTTGCAAAGCCCCGGCCCCCAAAATCCCGCTTTTCCCCTCAAAAATCTGGGTTTTCCCTTTATAAATCCCGTTTTTCCCCTCATAAATCCCGTTTTTCCCCTCACAAATCTCGCTTTTCCCCTCACAAATTCGGGTTTTCCCCTCATAAATCCCGTTTTTCCCCTCATAAATCCCGTTTTTCCCCTCACAAATCTCGCTTTTCCCCTCACAAATTCGGGTTTTCCCCTCATAAATCCCGCTTTTCCCCTCACAAATCTCGCTTTTACCCTCATAAATTCGGGTTTTCCTCTCACAAATCCCAGTTTTTTTCCCTCATACATGCCACTTTTCCCTCACAAATTCTCTCTTTTCCCCTCATAAATCCCATTTAAATCCCGCTTTTCCCCTCACAAATCTCGCTTTTACCCTCATAAATTCGGGTTTTCCCCTCACAAATCCCGGTTTTTCCCCTCATTAAATGCCACTTTTCCCTCACAAATTCCCTCTTTTTCCCTCACAAATCCCAGGTTTCCCCTCACAAATGCCACTTCTCCCTCAGAAATCCCAGGTTTCCCCTCACAAATTCCCTCTTTTTCCCCTCACAAATCCCATTTTTTCCCTCACAAATCCCACTTTTGCCCCTCACAGACACCACTTTCCTCCTCACAAATCCCCTTTTTCCTCCACAAATCACAGTTTTTTCCTTCACAAGTCCCACTTTTTTCCCCCTCACAAATGCCACTTTTCCCTCACAAATTCCCTCTTTTTCCCTCACAAATCCCAGGTTTCCCCTCACAAATGCCACCCCTCACAAATGCCACTTTTCCCTCACAAATTCCCTCTTTTTCCCTCACAAATCCCAGGTTTCCCCTCACAAATGCCACTTTTCCCTCACAAATCCCAGGTTTCCCCTCACAAATTCCCTCTTTTTCCCCTCACAAATCCCATTTTTTCCCTCACAAATCCCACTTTTGCCCCTCACAGACACCACTTTCCTCCTCACAAATCCCCTTTTTCCTCCACAAATCACAGTTTTTTCCTTCACGAGTCCCACTTTTTTCCCCTCACAAATGCCACTTTTCCCTCACAAATTCCCTCTTTTTCCTCCACAAATCCCAGTTTTTCCTCCTCACAAATCCCAGTCTTTTTCCGCCGGACAAATGCCATTTTTCCCCCTCACAAATCCCACTTTTCCCCCTCACAATTCCCTTTTCCTCCACAAATCCCTGTTTTTCCCCCTCACAAATCCCACTCTTCCCTCAGAAATCCCCGTTTCCCCCTCACAAATCCCAGTTTTTCCCCTCACAAATCAAAACTCATCACCCAAAATCCAGCCCTACACTGATCCCCAAATCCCCCCTCACGCTTCTCCCACCCCTTTTCTGACCATCCCCGCACCGGGCCTGGCCGCGCTCCGTCCGCCGCCCTGAACAAAAGAGCCCGGCCAGCGCCGCTGCCCGCCGCGCGCACCGCGCCTGCGCCGCGCCCGCGCGGGGCACGCCGGGAGGTGTAGTCCGCGCCGCCGCCGAGCCGCAGTGCGTTCCGTTGTGGGGCGCGGGGTGTGACGGGAGGTGTAGTCCGTGGAGAACGGCGGCCCCGCCTGCGCGCGAGGTGTGATGGGAGGTGTAGTCTGCCGCGCTCGCGGGGCTTGATGGGAGGTGTAGTCCGGGATGGTCAGGCCTTTCCGTTCCGCTCCTTGTTAATTAAATAATTAGAGTCATTAACGGTGGAAAAGTCCTCGCGGCTCTTCGAGTTCAAGCCGTGAGGCAAAAGCGCCTCATCCCTCAGGTCAGAGCCCCGAGTGGCACCTCCAGTGGGCTGTGCCCAGGGAAGGGTCCCGTCTATGGCCTCCATAAATAATCTAATTTGGGGAATCTTGGAATCGCTCAGGCTGGAAAAGCCCTCTAAGATCGCAACCATTCCTTGGGGGATGGCGACTCCAGCACTGCCCTCGGCAGCTGTGCCAGGGCTGTATCCCCGTTTCCACGGGGAGATTCCAGCTGATGCCCAGCCTGAGGCCATTCCCTTTCCTCCTTCCCCGTCCCCTGGAAGCGGAGCCTGATCCCCACAGCTGCCCCCGCTCAGGGACTTGTGGAGAGCCAGAAGGACCCTCCCGATCCCTTTTTCCTCCAGCTCAGACATTCCCAGATCTCTCACGCGCTCCAGCCCCTCCCTATCCCAGGGCAGGGGTGGCACCCGGGACTACAGCGCCGCCCGGACTACAACTCCCAGCATGCCGCGCACCGGAAGTTCCGGCACCGCCCGCGCTATAAAACCGCGCGCCGCCGCCGCCGCTTAAAGGGGCCGCGGGCTGTGCGAGGTGAGGGGGCCCTGAGGGAGGGCGCAGGTCTGGGGGGTCCCCGGCTCCCCTCGGGGGGGTCCCGGTGTCCCCAAACCCCCGGGGGGAGGCGGCGGCGCTGGGCTGGGCCTCACCGCCGGTCCGCGGCCTGTCCCGGCGGGGCCGGCCCGGGGCTCGCCCTCAGCGCCCGGGCTCGGGCCCGGCTCCGATCCCGTCCTGAGGAATCTTCTCCTTCCCTGGAGAGGCGAAACAGCCCCGCGAGTTCCCCCGCGGTGCTTTCCGAGCACGGGAAAGGAATAATTTGGGCTCGTTCCCGATTTTCCTGCTTTTCCCGGGGTTCTGGGACGCGTGGTGCTGCGGGACATCCCCGGGAGCGGGGAGCGGGGTGGGACGAGGAATCCTTTCCTTCCCTGGAAGGCAAAATATCCTGACAAAAAACCCTGGGAAAAAACATTTCCGGTGTTTAGGTGTGTCCAAAGAGAATAGGGAATAAACGGGATTTATGGACATCCTCAGGAATTCGCCCACCACAGGGAAAATCGGGAATAACTGGGATTCATTCCCGTTTTTCTGGCTCTGGAGGGTTTTCCATGGTTGGGAATGAGGATTCCTGCTGTTCCAGAGGGTTGGGAAAGGCTTTCAGGAATGGATTAGGATAAAAGATAAGGAGCCCGAGATAAGAATGAGCACTTTCCCTGGCAGGAATTTCCCTGGAAATGAGGAATGTCCCGGGAATTCTCTCCTTGAACCCCAATCCCGGGCAGGTGAGAGGCAGCAGAGCCTTGGAAAATCCCAAATTTGAGGAAAATAGCCCCAAACTGGGAATCCCAGAGCACCTTAAATTGAGGCTTTCCCCACCTTCCAGGGATTTCCAGTATTCCCAAAATTCCCAGAATTCTGGGGGTGCAGAATCCGTGGAAACCCCACAGGAAGGATTTCTCTAAATCCCTTTTTTTTCCCCAGATGTTTCCCGCTGGGCTCTGGCTCTAGGATGTTGGAGAACCGAGAGGAAGTGAGGAGCAGCCCTGGTTCATTCCCAAATCCCGGAGCTGGGGCGAGCGCAATTCCTGGGAATTCCAGCTCCGTGGATAATTCCTGGGAGAAATGGGGCTGAGTCCAGGGGCAGCTGGGAATGGGAATGGCTGGAAAAGCAGAGATAGGAATGGGAGTGGTTGGAAAAGCAGGGATGGGAATGGCTGGAAAAGTGGGAATGGGAATGGCTGGAAAAGCAGGAATGGGAATGGCTGGAAAAGCATGAATGGGAATGGCTGGAAAAGTGGGAATGGCTGGAGGTGTCCGGAGCTGGGGCGAGCGCAATTCCTGGGAATTCCAGCTCCGTGGATAATTCCTGGGAGAAATGGGGCTGAGTCCAGGGGCAGCTGGGAATGGGAATGGCTGGAAAAGCAGGAATGGGAATGTCTGGAAAAGCAGGAATGGGAATGGCTGGGAAAGTGGGAATGGGAATGTCTGGAGGTGCCTGTGCCATTCCTGGGAAGCTGGAAAACAGGAATGGGGTGGATCCCTGTTCCCAGAGCACCAGATCCCATTCCAGGGAAGCAGGGCCGGGTGGATCCCTGATCCCATTCCAGGGCAGCAGGGCCGGGTGGATCCCTGATCCCATTCCATGGAAGCAGGGCCGGGTGGATCCCTGATCCCTGATCCCATTCCAGGACAGCAGGGCCGGGTGGATCCCTGATCCCTGATCCCATTCCATGGAAGCAGGGCCGGGTGGATCCCTGATCCCGTTCCCGGTTTCCCGCAGGAGCTGACCACGGTGCGGGTGCAGGATCCGCGTGTGCAGAACGAGGGCTCCTGGAATTCCTACGTGGATTACAAGATCTTCCTGCACGTGAGCCGGGATCGGGATGGGCCCGGGATGGGATCGGGAGGGGCTCTGGGGCGGGGCTATCCCGATCCAGGAGGGGATGGGATCGGGATGGGATCGGGAGGGGCTCTGGGGCAGGGCTATCCCGAGCCAATCCTCGGGATCTCATCCTGGGCTGGCTCCCGGTTCCAGCATCGAGGGGATCCCTGGTCCTCAGTCCCATGGAGAATTCCCATCCTGGATCCTCTGTCCAGGCCAGATCCAGCCCCTTGATCCCAGGGATAATTCCCAGGGATCATTCCCATCCTGGATCTTTCAGCCCTCAATTCCCAGGGCTCCCTCCCTCGATCATTCCCAGGGATCATTCCCAGGGCTCCCTCCCAGGATGATTCCCAGAGATGGATCCCTCCTGGGATCATTCCCAGGATCATTCCCAGGGGTCCCTCCCAGGGTCATTCCCAGGATCATTCCCAGGACCATTCCCAGGGCTCCCTCCCAGGGCTCCCTCCCAGGGTCATTCCCGGGCTCCCTCCCGGGACCATTCCCAGGGCTCCCTCCCAGGGCTCCCTCCCAGGATGATTCCTGGGTTCCCTCCCAGGGTCATTCGGGACCATTCCCAGGGCTCCCTTTCCCGGGCTCCCTCCCAGGGTCATTCCCCAGGGCTCCCTCCCATGATGATTCCCGGGATCATTCCCAGGACCATTCCCAGGGCTCCCTCCCAGGATCATTCCTGGGACCATTTCCAGGGATCCCTCCCGGGACCATTCCCGGGCTCCCTCCCAGGGTCATTCCCCAGGGCTCCCTCCCATGATGATTCCCGGGATCATTCCCAGGACCATTCCCAGGGCTCCCTCCCAGGGCTCCCTCCCAGGGTCATTCCCGGGCTCCCTCCCGGGACCATTCCCAGGCTCCCTCCCGGGATCATTCCCAGGACCATTCCCAGGGCTCCCTCGCAGGTCATTCCCGGGCTCCCTGCCGGGATCATTCCCAGGACCATTCCCAGGGCTCCCTCCCAGGGTCATTCCCGGGCTCCCTCCCGGGACCATTCCCAGGCTCCCTCCCGGGATCATTCCCAGGACCATTCCCAGGGCTCCCTCGCAGGTCATTCCCGGGCTCCCTGCCGGGATCATTCCCAGGACCATTCCCAGGGCTCCCTCCCAGGGTCATTCCCGGGCTCCCTCCCGGGACCATTCCCAGGACCATTCCCGGGCTCCCTCCCAGGACCATTTCCAGGGCTCCCTCTCGGGACCATTCCCGGGCTCCCTCCCAGGGTCATTCCCAGGCTCCCTCCCGGGATCATTCCCAGGGCTCCCTCCCAGGGCTCCCTCCCAGGGTCATTCCCGGGCTCCCTCCCGGGACCATTCCCAGGACCATTCCCAGGCTCCCTCCCGGGATCATTCCCGGGCTCCCTCCCAGGGTCATTCCCCAGGGCTCCCTCCCAGGATCATTCCCAGGCTCCCTCCCGGGACCATTCCCGGGCTCCCTCCCGGGATCATTCCCAGGGATCCCTCCCAGGATCATTCCCAGGGTCATTCCCCAGGGTCATTCCCGGGCTCCCTCCCAGGGTCATTCCCGGGCTCCCTCCCGGGACCATTCCCAGGATCTCGTTGCTGTTCCCAGACCAACAGCAAGGCCTTCACCGCCAAGACCTCGTGCGTGCGGCGCCGCTACCGGGAGTTCGTGTGGCTGCGGCGGCAGCTGCAGCGGAACGCCGGGCTGGTGTAAGCGCCCCCCGGGCCCGGCCCCGCCCCTGGGGTCCCCCCCGGGCCCGGCACAAAGAGACCCCCCCCAATCTTTCCAGGCCGGTGCCGGAGCTGCCGGGAAAATCGGCGTTTTTCGTGGGAAGCACGGATGAGTTCATCGAGAGGCGCCGGCAGGGGCTGCAGCACTTCCTGGAGAGGTGGGAGCGGGGCTCGGGGGCTTTGGGGGGATGTTTGGGGTTTAGGATATTTCTGGTTTGGGATATTTGGGGTCTGGAATGTTTGGGGTTTGGTATTTGGGGTTTGGGATGTTTGGGGTTTAGGATATTTCTGGTTTGGGATATTTGGGGTCTGGAATGTTTGGGGTTTGGTATTTGGGGTTTGGGATGTTTGGGGTTTAGGATATTTCTGGTTTGGGATATTTGGGGTCTGGAATGTTTGGGGTTTGGTATTTGGGGTTTGGGATGTTTGGGGGTTGGGGTGTTTGGGATTTGGGATGTTTGTTTGGGATATTTGGGGATTGGAATGTTTGGGATTTGGGAGGTTTGGGGTTTGGGATGTTTGGGATGTTTGGGATTTGGGCTGTTTGGGATTTGGGATGTTTGGGGTTTGGAATATTTGGTGTTTGGGATATTTGAGGTTTGGGGTTTGGGAGGTTTGGGATGTTTGGGATTTGGGATATTTGGGATTTGGGATGTTTGGGGTTTGGGATGTTTGAGGTTTGGGGTTTGGGAGGTTTGGGGTTTGGGATGTTTGGGATTTGGGGTTTGGGGTTTGGGATATTTGGGATTTGGGAAGGGCTGAGGGGAGGCTGCAGCACCCAGGGGTGGCCAGGAGGTGGCAGCAGGCCGGGCTGGGTGGCCCTGGTGACCGTCCCTGCTGTCCCCTGCTGTCCCCTGCTGTCCCCTGCTGTCCCCCTGCTGTCCCTGCTGTCCCTGCTGTCCCTGCTGTCCCTGCTGTCCCCTGCTGTCCCTGCTGTCCCCTGCTGTCCCCTGCTGTCCCTGCTGTCCCCTGCTGTCCCCTGCTGTCCCTGCTGTCCTCCTGCTGTCCTCCTGCTGTCCTCCTGCTGTCCCTGCTGTCCCCTGCTGTCCCCTGCTGTCCCTGCTGTCCCTGCTGTCCTCCTGCTGTCCCTGCTGTCCCTGCTGTCCCCTGCTGTCCCCTGCTGTCCCTGCTGTCCCTGCTGTCCCCTGCTGTCCCCTGCTGTCCCTGCTGTCCCCTGCTGTCCCCTGCTGTCCCTGCTGTCCCTGCTGTCCTCCTGCTGTCCCTGCTGTCCCTGCTGTCCCTGCTGTACTTCCTCCCTGTGTGCCCAGGGCGGGGGGGGACAGGGTGCCAGCAGATGTGGCCCATCCCTGCAGGGTGGCCTGTCCTGCAGGGTGGCAGGTGCCAGCAGAGGTGGCCTGTCCCTGCAGGGTGGCAGGTGCCAGCAGGTGGCCTGTCCTGCGGGGTGGCAGGTGCCAGCAGGTGGCAGATGCCAGCAGAGGTGGCCTGTCCCTGCGGGGTGGCAGGTGCCAGCAGGTGGCCCGTCCCTGCAGCGGTGACGTGTCCCCTGCTGTCCCCAGGGTGGTGCAGAGCGCCGTGCTGCTGTCCGACAGCCGCCTGCACCTGTTCCTGCAGAGCCAGCTGCCCGTGCCGGCCATCGAGGCCTGCGTGCAGGGCCGGGGCCCCCACTCGGTCACCGAGGCCATCCTGCACTACGCCATGGCCCGGGGACGCCGCGGGGACACCGCGGGGCTGCCCGCCGCCAGGTGAGGGCAGGGAGCAGCCTGCGGGGAGGGACCTGCCCCGGCATCCCGGCATCCCGGCATCCCGGGATCCTGGGAAATGGACTCGGGACACGGGGAGTGGCGCGGGACAGCCCTGGGACCCCGGTGTGGATCCTGGGAGAGCCCTGGGACCTCCCAGCTCCTCCCGGGTCACTCCCAGCTCCACCCTGTGCATCCCGGGGCATTCCCAGCTCCTCCTGAGGCATTCCAGCTCCTCCCTGTGCATCCCGGCGCACTCCCAGCTCCTCCTGGGTCACTCCCAGCTCCTCCCTGTGCATTCCCAGCTCCTCCCAGGGCACTCCCAGCTCCTCCCGGGTCACTCCCAGCTCCTCCCTGTGCATCCCGGGCCAGAGGAGCCCAGGCAGCAGGGCCGGAGTGTCCCTGGGATGGGAACATCCCCCTTTTCCAGCTGGGATGGAGCTGCCAGGACGGGGCTGTGCCCAGGAAATCCCGACATTCCCTGGATAATTCCCTTTTCCTGCTCCATTTTCCAGCTGTGCCAGCCTGGAGAGCTTCCCCTACTGGGGTGACTTTGGCATGGACGAGGCACGGCCGGAGAGCCCGGAGCGTCCGGCCGGACACGGAGGGACCCCTCTGGAGAGCCTGGAGCGTCCAGCTGGACACGGAGTGGCCCCTCTGGAGAGCCTGGAGCGTCCAGCTGGACACGGAGTGGCCCCTCTGGAGAGCCTGGAGCGTCCAGCTGGACACGGAGTGGCCCCTCTGGAGAGCCTGGAGCGTCCAGCTGGACACGGAGTGACCCCACTGGAGAGCCCAGAGTGCCCGGCTGGACATGGAGTGACCCCTCTGGAGAGCCTGGGATTCCCGGCATTCCCAGCTGGGCACGGAGTGACCCCCCTGGGGAGCCTGGGAGTCCCGGCATTCCCAGCTGGGCACGGAGTGACCCCCCTGGGGAGCCTGGGAGTCCCGGCATTCCCAGCTGGGCACGGAGTGACCCCCCTGGGGAGCCTGGGAGTCCCGGCATTCCCAGCTGGGCACGGAGTGACCCCCCTGGGGAGCCTGGGAGTCCCGGCATTCCCAGCTGGGCACGGAGTGACCCCCCTGGGGAGCCTGGGAGTCCCGGCATTCCCAGCTGGGCACGGAGTGACCCCCCTGGGGAGCCTGGGAGTCCCGGCATTCCCAGCTGGGCACGGAGTGACCCCTCTGGAGAGCCTAGAGCGTCCGGCCGGACACGGAGTGACCCCTCTGGACAGCCCGGACACCCAGTGACCCCTCTGCAGAGCCTGAGATTCCCGGCATTCCCAGCTGGACACGGAGTGACCCCTCTGGAGAGCCCAGAGTGCCCAGCTGGACACGGAATGACCCCTCTGGAGAGCCCAGACACCCAGTGACCCCTCTGCAGAGCCCGGAATTCCCAGCTGGACACGGAGTGACCCCTCTGGAGAGCCCAGACACCCAGTGACCCCCCTGCAGAGCCCGGAATTCCCAGCTGGACACGGAGTGACCCCCCTGGACACCCCCGGCCCCGCAGCCCTCGCTGGGAGAGCGGTCAGCGTGGAGCCGCTGGGATGGCCGGACGGATGGGCTGGGAGCGCTGGGAATGCGGCCCCGGCCCTGGCCGAGCTCTTTCCCAGCACATTCCCGATATTCCCTGATATTCCCAGCCGTGTTTTCCTCACTCTGCTCCTGCTCACATCCCTCTGGAATTCCCAAACTGAGCTCAAATCCCCAAACCGAGCTCGGATCCCTCTGGAATTCCCAAACTGGGACAATGTGAGCCGAGCTTCCCGCCGGGAAAAGGGAGGGACGGGGCTGGAATTTGTGTCCCCTTCCCGCTGGGGCTGGGAATTCCCGGGGAATTTTTGGGGAAACAGGAGCAGCTCGGGTGGTTTTGGTGTCTTCCCCTCCCTCAGCACTTGGTGTGGGCAGGAAATAAAAACGGATAAAAATTAAAATAAATAATTAAAATAAAATTGGAACGGAAGTGGAGGAGATTTTCCGGGCTCGGGGGGTGGGAGAAGCGCCAGGAATTCCGGGATTTAGGGAATTTGGGAATCCCCCACCCCAGCCAGGGCTCGCGCGGGTTTTTGGGGAGGTTTTGGCTCCAGGGAGTTTTGGGAATCCCTGGGAGGAGCCCCGGGAATGGCAGGAGGAGCTCAGGGCCCCGAGTGCGGCTGTGATTGGCGGATCCTCTCATGAATATTCATATTAATGAATATTCATGAGCGCGTCGCTGCCGTGGCGCGGATGCGCCCGGGATCCGATCGGAATCCAGGGATCCACCCAGGTTCTGTGGATCTGATCCGAGCGCAGGGATTGGAGCCGAATTCCAGAGGGATCTGAGCCCAGTTTGGGAATTCCAGAGGGATTGGGGCCGCCAGGACCCTTCCACCGTCCAGCGGCCCCAGGGCCGAGTGCGGGAGGGGAGGGAGACCAGGAAAAAAACAGGAAAAACCAGGAAAAGCAGGAAAAAACCAGGAAAAGCAGGAGGAGGACGCGCTGGATTCCCTCACAGCAAAGGAGCCATTCCAGACCATTCCCGACCATTCCCAGAGCGGCCAAACTTGGAGAGGAAAAAGGGATTTATTGAGGGAAAACATCTGGATTTGGGACAGGGGAACACCTGGATTTGGGATAAGGGAACACCTGGATTTGGGATAGGGGAACACCTGGATTTGGGATAGGGGAACACCTGGATTTGGGATAAGGGAACACCTGGATTTGTGACAGGGGAACACCTGGATCTGGGATAAGGCAACACCTGGATTTGGGATAGGGGAACACCTGGATTTGGGACAGGGGAACACCTGGATTTGGGATAAGGGGAACACCTGGATTTGGGATAGGGGAACACCTGGATTTGGGATAAGGGAACACCTGGATTTGGGACAGGGGAACACCTGGATTTGGGATAGGGGAACACCTGGATTTGGGATCTCCAGGGCATTTGGGATTGACCCAGGAAAAGCAGGATGGTGAGCAGGAGATCTCCAGGGGATTTGGGATTTTTGGGAAAAGCAGGATGCGTGCCTCAGTTTCCCCGTGGAATGGCTCCGGGGGGGATTTTTGGGATAAAACCCGTGGCTCTGCTGCGGGAATCCCGTGGGATTTGTGGGATTTGTGGGATTTGGGATCCAGGGAATGCCGTGGGCCGGGCTGGCGTTGTCCCCATGCCGCCGTTCCCGGTCCCGCCTGCTCCAGGGAAAAGGGGGGACGGAGACAAGGACACAGCAGAGACCCAGGGGTGGATCCGGGACCCCAAATCCCAGATCCGAAACCCCGCAGCCCAAATCCCGATCCCAAAATCCAAACCCCCGATCGCACGCCCCAAACCTGACCCCAAACCCTGCACCCAAAACTCCAACCCCAAAACCTGACCCCAAATCCCAAATCCCAAAACTTGACCCCAAATCCCACACCCCAAACCCCAAACCTGACCCCAAATCCCAAATCCCAAAACTTGACCCCAAACCCCCAACCCCAAATCCAAAACCCAAGCCCCAGCCCCCAAACATGATCCCAAACCCCAAATCCCAAACCCCCAACCCCACACCCCAAATCTCAAACCCCAGACCCCAAACCTGGCCCCAGATCCCAGACCCCAAGCCCCAAGCCCACACCCCAAATCTCAAACCCCAGACCCCAGACCCCAAGCCCCGCAGCCCTCACCTGTCCCGTCACTGCTCCAGGTCGAAGGCGGGCGCCAGGAATTCCCTGGGCACGATCCCGATTTCCTGGCCGAGCTCCCCGACCCACCACCCGTGCCCGGGGTACTCCTGTGGGACCGGGACTGGGGTCGGGCCCTTCCTGGGAGATCCGACCCCAAATCCCACAGAAATACCCCAAATCCTGCAAAAAATACCCCAAATCCCACAGAAATACCCCAAAACCTGCAAAAAAATACCCCAAATCCTACAAAAAAACTCCAAATCCCACAGAAATACCCCAAATCCCACAGAAATACCCCAAACCCTGCAAAAAATACCCCAAATCCTGCAAACAATATCCCAAACCCTGCAAAAAATACCCCAAATCTCACAGAAATACCCCAAATCCTGCAAACAATACCCCAAACCCTGCAAAAAAATACCCCAATCCCACAGAAATACCCCAAATCCTGCAAACAATCCCCCAAACCCTGCAAAAAATACCCCTAATCTCACAGAAATACCCCAAATCCCACAGAAATTCCCCAAATCCTGCAAACAATCCCCCAAACCCTGCAAAAAATACCCCTAATCTCACAGAAATACCCCAAATCCCACAGAAATTCCCCAAATCCTGCAAACAATCCCCCAAACCCTGCAAAAAATACCCCTAATCTCACAGAAATACCCCAAATCCCACAGAAATTCCCCAAATCCTGCAAAAAAATTCCCCAATCCCACAGAAATACCCCAAATCCCACAAAAGTACCCCAAATCCCCTGCCTCACAGTTTGGGATTTGTGCCAGGAGGGGGAAAACCCCAAATGTATTCCTAAAATCCGAATTTATCCCTAAAACCCGAATTTATCCCTAAAACCCCGCAGGCTGAGCTGCGTCTCGGCCGCTCCGCAACCCCAATTTGAAAACAACCCCAATTTGAAAACAACCCCAATTTGAAAACAACCCCAATTTGAAAACAACCCCAATTTGCAAACAATCCCAATTTTAAACCGGTTTAACCAATTTCAAATAAACTTTAACCAATTTTAAACCAATTCCTTCTCTGCTGAACCTCAGCATAAACCTCAAACCAAATCCCGGGATTTCCCAACATCCGAGGAGACGGAAAAAAACCCCCGAATTTATCCCTAAAATCTGAATCCAGCCCCAAAACCCCGCAGGCTGGGCCATTCCTCGATCCCAACCCCGATTTTAAAACCAATTCCTTCTCTGCCGGATCTCGGGCTAAAGCTGGGCCTAAATCCCGGCATTTTCCGGCATCCGAGGGACGGAGCAAAGCCCCAAACTCTCGGCGGCCCAGCTGTAATTTTCCCCCCGCGCGGCGCCGGAAGAATTAAAAGCGCATTAAAAACTCGCGGCAATCGCGCTCGCTCCTCGGCTCGCGCTGCCAAATTGCCCCGCGCCGCCTCGTGCAGATGTTCGTTAATTATGCTAATTTTTATTAAATCATTAACGCCGAGCCCTGGCACGGCGGAGCTGCCTGAACTCTGCTCCGCTCCTTCCCGGCCCGCTGGAATTCCTGGGTTTTGGGGAGCAGGAGGAGGAGGAGGAGGAGGAGGATGGGGTTTTTGTTGGAATTTGGTTAATTAGGGCTTAATGAAGGCTCTGCTGCGCTGGGCGGGGAGGGAATTTTGGGGGATTTTGTGGGAATTTTGGGGGATTTTATGGGAATTTTGGGGGATTTTATGGGAATTTTGGGGGATTTTATGGGAATTTTGGGGGATTTTATGGGAATTTTGGGGGATTTTGTGGGAATTTCAGGGGATTTTGTGGGAATTTCAGGGGATTTTGTGGGAATTTTGGGGGATTTTGTGGGAATTTTGGGGGATTTTATGGGAAGGACTGGAAAGGAGCGGAAGGGATCCCGGGAGTGGTGTGGGGGGCACTGGGAGCAACCGGGAAGCGGAGCAGCGTCTTTCCCATTCCCAGGAATCGGCAGGAATTGGGAAATTGGGAATCTGGCAGCCTTTCACGGCTGGGAATGGATTTGGGGTCACCCCAGCTCTGTCCTCCCCAACCCAGGAATCCCCAAACTGGGAATCCCATCCCTGCTGGGTCTGTCTTGTCCCACCAGGGTCTCCCATCCCACCAAGATCTGTCTGATCCCAACAGGATCCACGAGTGCCATCCCACCGGGATCCATCCCATCCCAACGGGGTCTCCGTGTCCCATCCCAACAGGATCCACGAGTGCCATCCCACCGGGATCCATCCCATCCCAACGGGGTCTCCGTGTCCCATCCCAACAGGATCCACGAGTGCCATCCCACCGGGATCCATCCCATCCCAACGGGGTCTCCGTGTCCCATCCCAACAGGATCCACGAGTGCCATCCCACCGGGATCCATCCCATCCCAACAGGGTCTTCATGTCCCATCCCAACAGGATCCACGAGTGCCATCCCACCGGGATCCATCCCATCCCAACAGGGTCTTCATGTCCCATCCCAACAGGATCCACGAGTGCCATCACACTGGGATCCATCCCATCCCATCCCAACAGGATCCATCAGATCCCAACAGGGTTCAGGTGTCCCATCCCAGTGGGATCTGTCCCATCCCCTTGGGGTCTCCACGTCCCATCCCCTTGGGGTCTCTGCATCCAATCCCAACAGGATCCACGTGTCCCATCCCACCAGGACCTGTCCCATCCCAATGGTATCTCCATGTGTCCCATCCCACCAGGATCCATCCCATCCTACCAGGACCTGTCCCATCCCAATGGGGTCTCCATGTCCCATCCCAACAGGATCCACATGTCCTTTCCCACCAGGACCTGTCCCATCCCACTGGGATCTCCATGTCCCATCCTACCAGGATCCATCCCATCCCAACGGGATCTCCATGTCCCATCCCATTGGGATCCACGTATCCCATCCCACCAGGACCTGTCCCATCCCAACGGGGTCGCCATGCCCCATCCCATTGGGATCTCCATGTCCCATCCCAACAGGATCCACGTGTGCCATCCCACCGGGATCCATCCCATCCCAACGGGGTCTCCATGTCCCATCCCATTGGGATCTCCACGTCCCACCCCAACCCATCAAAATCCGCACATCCCAAAGCTCCAAGATTTATCCAATTAACCATTCCCCACAAAAACCCCCAACCACAGCCCTGCCACCACCCCGCCCTGCCCGAGGGACCCCGGGGTGACGCCGGGGTGACGCCATCTCCCGAACTCCATCCCCGGATCCCCGGCCTCGGCCTCGGGAGCGCCGGCTTGATCTTTATTCCACGGCTGAGCGCGGCGCCGAGCCCGAGGCGGCGAGCGCGGCTGGGGGACGATGTGACGGAAATGTTTCATCTGCCGGGCCCATCTGTGCCGCGCGTTCCTGCCGCTCGCCCCGAGAGAGGCGCCGCCGCAGCTCCGCATCGCCTTTAATATTCTCCTAAATCACCTCCCCGGCGCGCTTCAAGGGCCATTGCCGCCGCCGCGCCGGTTCATCTGGAGTGCACGGCGGAACGGGGGGCACGGCGAGGGCAGGGGGAGGGCACGGGCTGGGGTTCGGCAGGAATTCCCAGGGATTTGGGGTCCTGGGTTCCTGGGATTGCGAGGTTGGCGGGGGGGGAGAGAGGAGGCGCGGAAAAACAAAAAAAAATTGAAATAAAAAATCTGCAGGAAGTTGCTGGGAGGGTTTGGGGGTGCAGGAAATCCTGAAGGTCCAGGATTTGGAGGTTCAGGGGGGTAGGGATTGGGGGGGGCTTGGGGTCCTGGGATTTTTGGGGTTGGGGAGGATCCGGGGGTGCAGGAATGTCGAATTTGGAGGTTCAGGGGGGCAGGGATTTGGGGGATGCTCAGAATCCTGGAATTTTTGGGGTTGGGAAGGATCCGGGGGTGCAGGAATGTCGAATTTGGAGGTTCAGGGGGGCAGGGATTTGGGGGATGCTCAGAATCCTGGAATTTTTAGGGTTCAGGAGGATCTGGGGGTGCACGGAGGGTTTGGGTGTGCAGGGATGAGCAGGGATTGGAGGGAATGCTCAGGATCCTGGAATTTTCGGGGTCCAGGAGGATCCGGGGGTGCAGCTGTGTTGGATTTGGGAGGTTCAGGGGTGCAGGGATTTGGGGGATGCCCAAGACCCAGGAATTTTTGGGGTGCAGGAGGATCCAGGGATGTGGGGAGGGCAGCAGGAGGGCATGGGGTGGGGTTTGGGAGGAATTCCCAGGGATTTGGGGTCCTGAGTTCCTGGGATTGGCCAGGGAGGGGTGGCGGGGGGAGAAAGGAGGTGGCCAAAAACAAAATGAAAATAAAGAGGGAAGTTCCTGGGAGGGTTTGGGGGTGCAGGAACGTGGGGTTTGGAGGTTCAGGGGTGCAGGATTTGGGGGGAAATATTCCAGAATTGGGGGTTCACATCTCCAGGAGTGCCAGGGATGGACTCGGGGTTTTGGAGATTCAGGGGTGCCAGAACTGGGGGGAAATGTGCAGGAAATTGGGGGGAAATGTGCAGAAATTGGGGGGAAATATGCTGGAATTGGGGGTTTCAGATCTCCAGGACTACCCGAGGGGTGAACTCAGGGATTTGGAGTTTCAGGGATGCAGGAATTGGGGAGAAATATGCCAGAATTGGGGGGAATGTGCTAGAATCGGGGGAAAATATGCCAGAATTGGGGGGAAATATGCCAGAATCGGGACTTTCACCTCTCCAGGAGCAGTGGCGATGAACTCGGGATTTGGAGTTTGAGGGATGCAGGAATTGGGGTGAAACACACCAGAATTGGGAGGAAATGTGCCGGAATCAGAGGGAAATATGCAGAAATAGGGGTGAAACCCGAAACACTCTAGAATCGGGGTGAAACCCTCCAGAATCGGGGTGAAACCCTCCGGAATCGGGGTGAAACCCTCTAGAATCGGGGTGAAACATGCCGGAATCGGGGTGAAACACTCTAGAATCGGGGTGAAACCTGCCAGAATCGGGGTGAAACCCTGCAGAATCGGGGTGAAACCCTCCGGAATTGGGATAAAACCTGCCAGAATCGGGGTAAAACACTCCAGAATCGGGATGAAACCTACCAGAATCGGGGTGAAACGTGCCGGAACTGGGATGAAATGTGCCACAATTGGGGTGAAACCCTCCAGAATCGGGGTGAAACCCTCAAGAATCGGGG